CAGCTCTGGGGCTGTGTGTGTCGCTGCTCCCACAGCTGCAGGAAGGGAAAGGAATCCAAACCCAAGTCCTGCAGCTCCTCCCTGGGCTGCTGCTGCCTCCAGGCCAGGGACAATTCCCTCTGCAGCTCCTGTCCCTCCCTGCACAGCCAAATCCTTGCCCTGAGCAGCAGCAAAGAGCCAATTCCTGGGGGGAGTTGCTATTGAGCTCTGACTACTCTTAGTGGGCAAACCAAAAAAAAAAAAAATAAAATAAATGCTCTTTTACTCCTGGGTTCCCCTTGGATTGGAAAGAGCAAGAATACAAAGGAATAATAAAAAAAAAAAAAAAGGAAAGAAAAAAAAAAAGGAAAATATTGGGGAATGTTTGACACCATTTTATTCATCTTCAACTGCAGTGGAAAAATAGAACCTTTTACAAGTGCCATCTCGTGTCAGCTCAACTCAGTATATATCTCTATTTTATATAAATTTCTTTTTTTTCCTTTTTTTTTTTGTGTGTTTTTGTGTTTTTTTTTTTTGAAGTGCAGCAAGAGACCAAAAACCACATTAAACCTGATCAAAGAAAGAGCACAAAAGGCCAAGCAGTTTCCAAATGGCATTTTATCTGATTTTCCTGTTTTTTTTTTTCCTTTCCCCTCTTTGCACATTGAAATTTCTCCTCAAAAACTTTTCGCAAATCCAAAATAGAACCTGAAAGTTTTGCTTTTTTTTTTTTCTTTTCTTCTCTTTTTTTTGTGGTAATTTTTTTGTCTGTTTTGTTTGCTTTTTCAACTTCTTTGGCACAATTTTGGTGTGAGTGTTCTGGGCTGCTACAGTCCAAAGTCAGGAGAGATCTTTCCCTTTTTTTTTTTTTTTTTTTGCTATCACAGCCAATTTTGGAGCACTTTGGGGTTATTTTTAGGGGTGCATATTTTTTATTTTTGCCTGTTGAAATCTGAAATCTCGATTAATTTTTTTTTTCTATTCCCTCTAATGCAAAAGTCATGTTTTCCCCCCATTTCTACATTCACAGTTGAATATCAAGGAAGGAAAGGCGCTTTTTTTTTCTTTTTTTTTTTTTTGCCTTTTAAAAGTACTTTATCAATTGCTTGCTGATGGGAGCTCTGAACATTCGTCAGTGTTGCCCTAAAAATCCAAGCCCTAAAGGAGCAACTTTCCTTTCTTTTGTTTTTCTTTTTTCCATATTTTTCCTTTTTTTTTTTCTTTTGGACTTTTTTTTATCCTCTTCTCATGTTATTTATTTATTTTTTTTTTTGTACATCTCTTAGGCTGCATCAGTAGGACTGAAGGTTAGTTATGAAATGAACAGCTAACCCTTGGTTTTGTTGGTTTGTATTTTTTTTTGTTGTTGTTGTGGTGGTGGAGTTTTTTGGTGGGTTTTCTTGGGAAAAAACAAAAACAAAAAACTGCAATGACTTGAAGTTGAGAATGTGGATACCTCCTCACTCACACACACTCACTCCTCGCCTGAAAATCCTTCACCCCCTTGGGCTGGAGATCCAAAGCTCCATCTCTCTCCAGCAGCCAGACCTCAATGAGCACCAGTTGAGCCCAGTTTGACCTCTCTTTCAAACTGGTCCTTCTCCCTTCCTGCCTGACCACCACAGAGAAGCCAATCCTGGGCTGGTGGGAGAAGAGTTTTGTGTATTTTTGCTCGTTGCCTGGACAGAATTCCCTCCTGGTTGCCTCTTCCCGGTGCCAGGTCAGCGCTGCTGCTGGCAGGATTTTCACTGTGGTGTGTTTCAAGCCTCACTCACTCACCCTCTCATTCCCAAACACTCAGCATCCGTGCACACTCCTCACTTCTGGGTTGGATCAAAAGATTGGAGATTTTTCCAGTGGGGGGCTCAGGTGTCTTCCCAATGGTAACAGATCTGTGAGGGGGGAAAAGGAGCTGTCAAAAAAAGGTTGTGAAGGGAATTAGGAAGTACTGGAAGGGTTTGAAATACTTGGGATGTGGTAACTTGGAGTTATGGTTGGAGTTGAGCTTAAAGGGGTTTTTACACCTCAAAGATTCCATGATTCTGGGGGAAAAAAACCCACCTCAAAAGCCCAAAAATCCCAAGTTCAGGAGGAGAAAATTGACTTGACAGAAATAAAGAGAGAAGTAAAAGAGACACCAAGGAATTTCAAGGTAGGTGACAAAGATGTAACACATCATCCCAAAGGCAGATCCTCCCTTTAAAGGCTGTTTCAGTGGAATCATGGAATATCTCAAGTTGGAAGGAGACTCAAGGATCAGAGTCCAACTCTGCTCCTCACAGGACTGCCTAAAACTCAGCCATGGGACTAAGAGCATAATTCAGGTGGTTCTTCAATTCCAAGGAGGTCCGAAGAAATCACCAGGCTTCAATTCCAGCAGGTTTGGAAGGGGCAGGATAGTCCCCAAGGAGCACAGGGGACAGACAGGAGGGAGAAGGATTTTATAGAGCAGGACAAGGGGGAATAGGTTTAAATTGCCTGAGAGCAGGGACAGATTGGATTTTAGGAGGGAATTCCTCCTTGTGAGGGTGGTGAGGCACTGGCACAGGTTGCCCAGAGCAGCTGGGAGTGTTCCAGGCCAGGTTGGATGGGGTTTGGAGCACCCTGGGCTGGTGGAAGGTGTCCCTGCCAATGGCAGAGGGGGGGATGAGATGAGCTCTAAGCTCCTTCCAACCCAAACCAATCCATGATTCCCACACAAACAACCCTCCATCCATCCACGTGGAACTGTTTCACACCATTTCCTACTCTGGATCTGTCCTGACAAGACAAACCCACAGCTGGAATTTCTTTACAGCATAACCAAACAAGAAACAACCTCCTGGAGAACACTTTTTTTGAGGATTATGCCTCTTCCAGGCTGAGTTTGGCCAAATACCTAATTACAGACCAGGAAGAGAGGTGAATTTCAGCCCTTACCAAGCTTGATTCTTCAGTTTTCTCAGCTCTTTAGTCGCCCAGGTAGCAAGAGTTTTTGTTTTGTTCGTCTTGGATCTCCTCCCTTCAGTTAGCAGTTCATGGATCATGGGTCTAGCTTCTACTAATTTCAGAACATCCTTCCCAAAGGCTGTACACAAATCTCTGCAAGGATGGAGAGAGAGAGCGAACTAGAGAGAGGTTTGCAGTGCCACAAACAGCTGTGCCAGCACAGCTCTTTGCTTAGCACAGAGAGATGTGACTCATAGATAATGTCCTTTGGAAAATGCTGCATGTGGTCACTGATTCCAGGAGAGTTCAACACTTTGCTGTGATTGAGGCTAAGAGATGGTCAATCTCCTCTTCAAAGCTTGATTTGCACATCAGCTCTCCCTTGAATTCAGCAGGGAGGTTAAAACAGCCCAATCCAAACTCCTCCATGCTTTAAAGGATGGGTTGGGGTGGTTTTAAACCCTTGGAAAAAGCCTAAATCAGGAATTTTTCTACCAGTTCGTTCTACCTCCTGAGTTTTCACCCTATCAGAAACCTCCAGAACCATTTGACACATTGAGACAAACACCCAACACTACTGTAACCCCCCCAGAACTGCTGGTAAAGACTTCACAGAGGCAGAAAATTGCAGCTCCCAGGACTTCTGTGTGTCCTGAGCCTGCTGGAACAGGGTGGGGAGGTCTTACCCTATGAGTCCAGCAGCACATGCCACCACTCCATCCGTGTGATCCTCATCCCCTGCGATGTGGTCGATGTAGGACAGGATAAATTCTACTCTGGGCTGCACCAGCATCACATCAGCTGCAAGGGAACAGCTTGATCAGAGCAGAGGACATAGAATATGTGTGACAGGACTCTGTCCCTAAAGGGATTCTAGTTGACCCCTCAAAATAGGCTCAATCTCACCCAGAAGAGCTGCTCTGACAGGGAGGGGAGATACTGCCAGTGAAGGGATCTAAACCCATTCCCTGCTCATGGATGAGCAGCTCAGTCCCAAAGGGGAGGGAATGAACAGGGATATGCCCAGGGATGTGACAACCAGTGGGAAAAGGAGGCTTAGAGGAGATCTTGTTGCTCTCTCAACCTGGAAGGAGGTTGGGGCCAGGTTGGTATCGGTGTCTTCTCCCAGGAACTAAAGGAAATAGCCTCAAGTTGCACCAGAAGAGGTTTAGATTGGGTATTTGGGAATATTTCTTCTTGGAAAGGGTTTTCAAGGATGGGAGCAGAGTGCCCAGGGCAGTGGTGGAATCACCATCTCTGGAAGTGTTCAAAACCATGTGGCTGTGGCCCTTGGGGACATAGTTTGGTGGGGACATGGCAGTGTTGGGTTGACAGCTGAAGGGCAAAGGGTTGGGGACTAGATGATCTCTAAGGTCCACTCCAACCGCTTAATATTCCATGATGATTTTTAAGCTCTTTTCCAGCCTTACTGACTCCATGGTTCTCCCACCAACCTGTCCCAGCAGAGCTGTTCCCACCCCAGGCCAAGGTACTCACGGTGCACGTTCTCCTGGTCTCCCTTCAGTCCCTGGATGATCCCAGTGTAGGCCTCCAGGCATCCCTCCCTCAGCTCATTCAGGTAATCCACCATGTCATAGTCAGACTGCAAAGGCCACAGGAAAGGGAATCAGCCATTTGGGGGTTGTCCTATTTCTGCTTGGGATTGGCCTTAATATTTCTATTTTCCTCTGCCAACCTCTTCCTCCTCCCAGTCACTGCCACCACCAACACAGACCTGCAGCTTCCTCCAGCCAAAAGAGGCCCCAAAGGACATACAAGTCCAGTTTTCCTTTCTGTTTGGCTTGCAATGATCCCACTCAGCCTTCTCATTGACTTCCCAGGCTCTGGGGAGCATTTCCAGGAGGAGAACCCAACTCCAAACACCCAACATGCATCATGACATGCACAGCCTGTAGCTCAGGGTACACCTTACCTTGTCCACCTGTGCCTGGGAAGCTTGTTGGAGGGTGTTGAGCACCACATCAAGGTACTTCTTGAACTCCCCTCCAATGGCAAGGGCAATGTCCCCAAACACTGAGAGGATCTGAGGCTTCACAGACCTATGAACGTTCTCATTCTGGAAAGAGATTTCAACACAACCACGTTGAGCTGTGTCTCATTTGGAAGGGGGAAAGAGCCAATAAATGAAGCTATTTACTCCAACTGTACATCTTTGCCCCCAGTACATTTGGATTCTAGTCAAATAGTAAGCAAAGAGAGTTGTCAAACAGGAGATGTTCCGAGCATGCCTAACACTTGTACTTCTCCCACCTCCCACTTCCCTCTCAGTGTGCAGCCAACTGTTACTAACCAGTTAATGAGGAGGTAAACACTCACCCCCAAGTTCTCCAGGAGCAGCTGCATAACCTCATCACAGAAAGGCAGGATGTTGGATTGCAGGGCTCTGCACAAGTCCCCAACCAGGCCCACTGCAGACAGACAGACCTGCAAATAGAACAGCAACACCCACAGCTGAGTCAGTGGCCCACGCTCCACACTCAGGGATTTGGCTCATTCCAGCACTGAGAGGTTAATTAAACCAAGGGGAATAATGACCCTCAGAGCAGCTGAGGAGTCTCTGGGTGGTTAAGCATTGGTATCACAGAGCTGGACCATGGGTAGGGCAGGACATTAGGTGCCACTGAGGTGATGGGGACTTGGTTTGGATAAACCCAACCCAATTCAGCTGCTGGGTGGTCTCACCACCCATGGTGGCATCAGGACTTGACATTCCAATGGGAAATCACAGCTAGGAACAAGCTCTTTCCTCATCAAGGCCAATAAATGTGCAGTGTCAAGTCACTGCTGGATTAGAGTCTAAATTCTGTAGGTCATTAGACTCATGGAATGATTTGAATTGGAAGGACCTTAAAGTTCATTCAGTCTCACTCCTTGAAATGGGCAGGGACAACTTCCACCAGCCCAGGTTGCTCCAAGCCTTATCCAATCTGGCCTGGAACACTCCCAGGGATGGAGCAGCCACAGCTGCTCTGGGGGAAAGAAGTGTTTGATCCCTACCTGGTACTCGGCATAGTTCTTCAGTCCAATGCCAAGGAAGGGTTTGAAGGCATCCATATACTTCAGGAACTCTCCACCTAAGACTGTGCATGGAAAAGATTCCAGTTAGGAAAAAAAAACCAATCCAATTTATGACATATTTGCAGAACAAAGCAGAGAGTCACCATCACATCCCACCCAATCCCAGGGAAAATCACTTCTCCACTAGACAACACACAGGAACTGACAGTGAAACGTGTCCAAATCCACCTTGGACTCAACAGATTCCAAAGTGTCCGATGCCTTGTGGATTTCTGAAGCCAAACCACCCTCTCCTGAGCTCAGGAAGGATGCTGAGACCCTTCAGAGGGAGAAGGACACGGTGAGACCCTTCAGTCAGGGTTGGGCTCACACATTGCTTTGCAGCAGCTGCAAACTCTTTGCCTTTCCATATCACTTCCTACCACAACAGCTGGAACATCTTCCTTAGGGAACAGCTGCTCAAGCTCTTTGGAGCTGTACAGTTCCAGCAGAGTATCCTCAGGGGGGTTGTGTTTGAGCAAGATTTAAAGCAACTGTTTCTGCTTTCCTCTGCCAACTTGTGCCTCTTCCCAGTCACTGCCACCACCACCACCAACCTGCAGCTCCCTCCAGCCAGAAGGGACCCAAAAAGGACACACAAGTCCAGTTTTCCTTGTTGCTTGGATGGTAGTGATCCCACTCAGCCTTCTTATTTACTTCCCACTCTCCTCAGGCAATCCCAGTGAACATTCCCAAGAGCAGGCAGAGAGGAATCCTCCAAAGGGACAACTCCAAACATCCAACCCTCACTCTGCTGCTCTTAGGAGGTGTCCTGTGCTCTCAGAGCAACTAGGGATGGATTTCTATCAGGACCAGGTCCTGTCACTGCTCAGCCCCTGCCCTGCCAGCCAGGAGAACAGCCTTGGCAAACAGGAAAACTCCAAAGAGCTGCTCCACATACTGATGTTCTGTTTCCAAACCACACGTGGCTTTGTTGAAGACCATGGAATAGTTTGGGTTGGAAAGAACCATAAAGACCATCCAGTTCCAGCCTAGGTAAGGCAGGAGGGTTCAGCAAGGTGACATCCAGGCTTTCACCACCTCAACTTTCTCAGTTCCTGGAGCTCCAGGTGACACCACAGCCACCACCTTCTACACTTGAACCTCAAGCTTAAAAGCTGCCTGGAATTCCACAACCCCCATTTGATTTCACTTCACCCATTCCAACATTGATGAACAGGAGCAATGGCTGTAAATCCACTGTCAAACCAGCCCTGACTCTCATCCCTCAGGTAATGTTCAATCCATCCTGCAGCAGCTCCAAGGAAACAGGTTCCACTGTGCTGAGCACTGGGTAGAGGAGCACCAGTTTATGGGGTTTTCTGGGGGAATTTGCTCAGTTATTAACTGAAACCAAACCATTCCTTCAGGAAACACAACCTGGAGCAACAGGCCAGGCTCAGCTTCGCATGGAGGTGGAGATCATGGAATGGTTTTTGGGCTGGAAGGACCTTAGAGCTCAGCTTGTTTCAACCTCCTGCCATGATGGGCAGGGAAACTTTCCTCTAGCCCTAGTTGCTCCAAGTTTCATCCAACCTGGACATGAACACTTCCAGAGATGGAGGAGCCACAGCTTTTTCACAGATGGAGAGCTCATGGATGGTTTGGGTTGGAAGGACCCCAAAGCTCATCCAGTGCCACCTCCTGCCATGGGCAGGGACACCTTCCACTAGCTCAGGTTGCTCCAAACCTCATCCAGCCTGGACTGGAACACTCCCAAGGATGAGACAGTCACAGCTTCTTCACAGATGGAGGTGGAGACATCATGGAATCATGGAATGGGTTGGGTTGGAAGGACCTTAGAGCTTATCCAGTGCCACCCCCTGCCAAGAGACACCTTCCACCAGCCCAGGTTGCTCCAAGCCCCATCCAACCTGGCCTGGAACACTTCCAGGGATGGAGCAGTCACAGCCTCTCTGGTTTAGCTGTCCCAGGTGTGTGAAGGTCACAGCAAAACCACCACGAAACGATGGAGATTTTTTGCCACACAGGCCATAAAAGCAGAATCCAAGCCCACTGTGCCCCAGCTCTGCCTCCCCCCACACCCATCCTGACCTTCCACCAGGGTGCTGACTGCCATCAGGGCATCCTCCTGCACACCCCCTGAGCCTGCTGTGCTCTGGAACATCCTCAGCAGAGATGCCATGACCACGTCAGAGATCTGCAGAGCATCCTGGTGCTGCACCTTCCGGAGCACGTTCTGAGGGGGAAACACCAACACATTCCATTCTTTCCACATCTGTGGGGCTGGATGGAGCCTTTCCCACCCCTCCCAACCCTGTGTGAGCTCTGAGTGCTGGTGACCACGTTGGGGTGGGGATGAAAGGAGCTGCTGTGTGAACTGTGCTGCTGCCAAAATGTGCTTTGTCAGGGCAAAGTCCTATTCATTTTGGCCTCATCCAATTTTCCAGCCACAGAACAAGCTGAATTTACCTTTCCTGCTGCATAGGCTGTTCTCCCAGCTTGCCATTTGTAAGCTGGAATTAAATGTGACCAGCCCAAATGTGATCCTAGGAGGGGAAGAAAAAAAAAAAAAAAAAAAAAGGCCCTTTTCTTCCCCCGCAGGGCCAACTTGCATGGGTTGACA